GCTCTTTAAGAGCAAAACTCATCCCATTCGTGTGAATAAGATGTGCAAATAGTATTATATGCTGCATTTCAGCATGAAAGAAAGCATCTCCGGCTTTTACCATTGTATCTCCTCAAGTTAATCTGTAATGAATCGGGTGGTTGGCTAGCAATGCGCTTTACTGATACTGAACAGCCTTCCAGTGTTTGTTGGTGACATTCACCTCTTGTTGTTTTATCTATTTTATTAGAGATAGCATACTAAAGAAAATGGTAGTCATAAATCAACCCAACCCTCCCTGGACTTGAGAATTACTTTCAGGTTATGTGAAATCAGTATGTACAGTTCTAATTTCCCTGGGGTTTTCCAGAGTGAAGCTGTTGGAGCCCAACTGTGAGATTATCATGCTTGAGATGCCTGGAGATACGCCCTTCAGAAGGCATTACCTGGCCTGAAACTCAGGCTCCTGTGGTGAATATCAGGATATGCACCCCAAATTGCTGTCATTTCTTGAAGGAAAGCTGGTATCTATCTATCTAGTGGCTTTATGTATATCTTGACTTCACATACAAATAAGTGAATGTGTGTGTATTTATGCTTATGTATCAGTGGATGTAAGCATGCACACATTTGCAGCTTTTCAGAGGCATCCTATTCATCCATCATGATTGCTGTGGCATATCTGCTTGTGACAGGTGGACGTTCATATGTTGACACCAAAGAGCTTGAGTAGTACTTCTAGCCCCAGCATCAGTCTGCTGGGTTGCATTGGACCTGTCTTTCTCCCTCTTAGCTTTATTTCCCTCATTTGTAACTTCCTTTCCTTTTTTGGACACTGCTTTTCCGTCAGCTGTTAAAGTGTGATTATATGAAACCCAGTAATTGTTACCATCTAACTTATTTACCCACTGTGTTTATGCATAGATAGTTACTCAATAAATCCATCTGAAATTGATCATAAGTGCTTTCTTTTAGCTTATAGTCCTGAGCACCGGAAAACAGCAAATACTTCCAAGAGTTATTAGCATACTCTAGTAGGTGTTTGCTAGGAGAGCTAAATCAAACTCCTGTCTGACTTGCGCTGAGGCTGAATTTGACATCAACTGTAGGATTCCTCTCAGCAAACTTCAGGTATGTTAGTGTCAGTCTAGTCGTCTCCTGCTGCAGATGGAGAAAGATGAAGCCCTCAGGAGGACACTTCTTCCCTCCTCTTTTAGGAACAAAATACCCTCCATTATCTCTCTCCCTGGGTTGCAGAGGAGGCTGTGTGCCTGGCTTACATGAGACTCCTGACTTTCAGTGAACTGATGCAGGTGACAGGCATCTCATCCCTTCGGTGTTACTCAGATAACTACAGCATAATTTGGTGTCTGGCAAGTGCAGAAACATTTTCTGAAGATGGTTACTCAAAGTAAACTTGGCTAGGAATACTGATAAAACTCGAGTGTTGTAAACTGATGTTAGGTATTTCATTAAGCACTAAACAAGAATCTATATGAAACAAACATTGGACTGTATAAAGAAACACTAAAGGTTTGCATTGGTAGTTTGGGGAAGGAGATGTAAAGAGTCTTCTGAAGTACGTTTTTCATCATAATTAAAGACATGATCTGTAGACACCAGTACTTATGGGAGCTTTCTTAAATGTTTCTTAAGTTTCTTTCTTAAAAACACCTAAAGCCCCAAAAGATTCTGAAATGACCCATTTAGAACTATTCTAGATTTATTTATTTATTTGTAAATAATCTGTAAGGGATCAAAAATTCTGGAAAAAATAGGAATATCTATATGAATGCAGTGTTTCTTTCCTCCTAATCCTGGCTCCCTGCTCTACTCTGCTAGTTTAAATACTCCCAATTCCTTTGTTTGAAATGGACCAAATTTTTTACTTGGGCTACAAATGGCATTTTGCTTTTTGGTTTCGAAAGCAGAAGTATCTTTTCCTATTTCCAAGGAAGATATCTTTGTACTTAATAGCCATGACTCATCCATGACTCATCCATACATTTCTGAAAGAACAGCATCTGTCATTAAGACCCAGTATGATCAAATGGACTGGGACAGGTTTCATCCTAAGTGTATACTGACAGAGCTTTGCAGATTCAAGATGAGGCCTACAGTTTCTAATGAAACTTCTCATATACAAAAACTGAAATTATACCAGGGACTGAAATACGATTGCTTGCCCATAGCAATTGAAACACAATATGCTCACCCACAGCAAAAGGTCCTTCTACCTGCTAAGAATCTGTTTTACAAAAGATGCTATTTCTGAAAGCTGGGGTCGAGAAGAATGGACAAAAGTTTTCAAGGCAAAACTGCTGAATGTGCAGAATGGGCAGATAGGAACTACTAGACATGAGGGGCTCCCAGAACGATTTACCACTGAGAATTTCGCTCCCTGTATTGTTCAACCGCATTCAACAGTTACAGTGATAATATAAAAGTTGGTAAGATCTTAAAAATATTGTGGAATGGGTGTTCCAAATTTGTCACTGCTAACAAAAATGCTGCAATTCGTTAGAGAGCCTACACAGCACGCTGGTACAGCAGTCTCAGCCATAGGAAAAGGCATGACCTAAACCCGCATATTAAGAGACACAGGGTAATTTAGTCACAAGACACAGAACTGTAGCTAGTACGCTTCATTCGTTCATCTTCTCACAGAGCTGCTTCTTCACATTGTATGCACAGATGTACAGATGCCTCATTGTCCCAGCCAGACATGGAGAACTTTAGCAAGAGCAGTCACAGAGCTGTGTGACATGCAAAGATCTACTGTACATCAGCCAGCAGAAACAGAAGTTTGCAAGGCAGATACCTCTGTAAGATTTGCAGTTCCTGTCCGGACAGTATCTGTTCTCTGGTCAGTATGTACAAGAGAGCAGAAACTTACCTTGGAAAAGAAGTAGGAAGGGAAATAAGAATGGGAAATTCAGAACAGAAAAAGTAAGGTTTGAAAAATAAGCCTGAGAAAGGGCCTCCATGGGTTGAGGAACTCTGTGGCTAGTTAGGCATTTACTTCAGTGGATATAAGGCCATGCTTGAAGAGTCACAGGCCCTTGGAGGTTGGAAGGAACTCCCAAAGGTCTCCAGTGTGACCTGAATCAAGAAGATCCCATTTGAGCAGATTGGTCAGGACCTTGCCCAGGCTGGTTTTGGACACCTTTAAGGATGGAGATTCCAGGATGGATCTTCTCTGGGTACCTGTTCCAATGTTCAGCCATCCCCATAGTAAAAAATCCTTCCTCATGTCAAGTAGGAATTTGATGTTGCAACTTGCTTTCCTTATTTCCTTTTCCTGTAAACTGCAATAAGATGCCCTCCCAAATCTTCTCTTCCTAACAACAAATGCATGCAGTTCTCTCAGCCTCTCCTCATGTGTCCTGTGTTCCGGTTCCCTGACCACCTTGGCCCTGCACTGAATTAACACCAGTGTGTCCTTGTCTGTCTTCTACTGGGAGCCCGAAATAGGACAAAATCCTCCAGGCATGGCCTCACAGACACAAGGAGAAGGCAAGAATCATTTGCCTTAGCCTGCTGGCTACACTCTTGCTGATACAGCCCAGCATTTGTTTCATCAGGGATGCACTGCTGATGAGCTCATGTGCTTGTGTTGGAGTTGTGCACTGGGGCCCCCAGGACTTTTTCTACAAAGCCAGTTTGTAACAAGTTTTTGCCCAACTTAATGGGACTTTTCATTTTACTTTGTTCTGCTCCCTGAGGTTTCTCTCAGCCAATTTCTCCACCCTGTCTGGGTGAGACTCCAAATAGCAGCCGTGTCCAGCAGTACATTGACTGTTTCCCCCAGTCTGGTGTTACGTGCACACTTGCAGAGAGTGCAGAGGAGCCATATGCTAAAGTTCTTAATTGAGATAGGTGGTCTGCTCCCTGAAAAGTCTTTATATCTAGTGGGCAGGATGTGCGAAGTTGCAAGCACAAGCAGCTTCGTATTATAAGCTTATAAATAACTGGTGAGAAATAGCTCTCTCGAGGTCACTGCAGGTAGTTATTTACTGAAGGGTGAAGTTAGTACCACTTTATTTTGAGTCCATCATTGGACAGAGCAGTGGAGGTCAATTTCTTATATCCTGCTCTTTGGCCTGTGTTTCAGGATGGGTCAGACTTAGATAGGGGAAGGCGGGGACACACGACTGTATATCATGTCTGGGACAGAGCCGTGTGAGATGGTCTTTAGCCATTGAAGAAGATTTCACAGTCTGGGTATAGGAGAAGAGCTTGTTTTCCTTTAGCTGGTCTCCTCTCCATCAGATGATTTCCAGTCTGATGTCACACCTGTGTGATCTGTGTAACATGCTCAGGCTATTCATTTTAGAGTTATTAGCTTCAGTTTTGCTATCTCTTGGTTTTATTCATTGAGTTTTTAACCCTCGGGATGTTGCCAGAACTGCCAAAGTGTTCCTCTATTTTATGTTCACAGTCACATTTCTCAGTCTGTCCCTTCATGGAAGATTGTGAAAGCCCAGCAGCAATTCCCAAATCCCTAAAAAGTGATTAGCAGTTATTGTTCTGTAAGTGCTTAACACGGAGATTAAGACAGGCCACCAGGTGTTTACACAATAATATTCAGCAGCATGGAAAGACAGCTCTGGCTATTACATGGTGTAAAGAGGGTAAATGCTTGCTATCAGTGAGATGTGAAGTTATTTTGATGCTTGTATTATGTCTCATTTTCTCCAATAGGTTGTGCAGTTCTGTTATTTTTGAACTTTTTATTCCCTGATAGGGGTTTATCTGTGTTTATAATTGCAGGATTGATCTGTATCTGCAAGATCAGCTTCAGTTAAAGGTATTCTTGTACAATCAGTAGGCTGCAAAACCGCATTTTTAGTCTGCCCCTTTGTATCTAATATAGCGTATTTGTATACAGCAACAATGGAAGGGGCTATGCTTCACATTGCAGGTTTGAAATAAGTGGTAGTGAAATAGCTTGGGAGCAGGGCAAATGCTCTTCTGTAGCAATTCGTGTCATTCACTGTGTCTTCTTTTTTCTGTTTCAGGAGGTTGGAAGCATTATTGGAAAGGTCAGGAAATTACTTTTTCTCTTTATTTTCGTGTCAAAATATTGTATATCAGTTCACTTCATCAGTCCAGGCTAACTTTTTTTCTGTTTCTTTAACAGAAAGGTGAGACTGTTAAGAAGATGAGGGAGGAGGTAAGACAAGCCTTGATGATGTCTTTACTTGCCTTTCATTCCAGCTCACCGCGAAATTCAGCGTGTGCAAACCGACACTGCCATCAAGTGGGCACTTAATTTAACACCGCCATTCTTTGCAAGTGGTGGTGTGTAAATGTGCTGGCCTCAGTTAAACGTTGTTATTAATGTAACCACTTTATCACCGCAGCAGTCTGGAGTCTTTCATTCCCATAGCAATACGCCTGCTGCTGTCTTATCTCAGGAACAGCTTAGCTAGCATGATTAAAACCACTGTATCTTTCTTTAGCATACAAACATCGGTCCTGCACGTGTCTTGGCCTCCTGGTAGAAAGTTTCCAAAATCTGAAACCAAGCATTAGATTGATGCATATAAAGTTTGAGGGTAGACACAGGGTTCAGTAGGGCTGTAGCCAGACTTGTGTAACCTGAAGTATCCCTCTGCCATGTCTTGACAAAGCCTTAACTTCCTGTGAGTAGGATGTGAGCAGGGTAGACCACTCACATCCTTTGGAAAGGTCATAAACACAAAATAGCTAACTAAAACAGGGCACTACATAAACCTCAGTCTCCCCACTGTCCACAGGCATCCTTCCCTTCTGCAGAGAAAGCTGCATCGTCTTCAGAGGATTGTGCCCAGGTAGAGGTTACAGACCGGCACTTGTCCTGCAAGGCAGCACATCTTACTTGGAAATCCATGTAATTTTCCTTCTTTGAAACAAGTGCTAAAAGCATAGCTCAAAAGACAAATCCTACTCTTCAAAACTTTAGGAGTGCAGAGTGTATAGAGGGTGCCTCAAGAAAAGTCTATTTGGTTCTGGTAAACCTGCAGTATATTACTATGTCAGCGGCTTTGTTGTTTTATACGCTGATAAAAGATCTGTGGCAGGGAAATCTCAAAGTGTTTGTAGTAAAGAAAATTGCTGAGATCCATCTTTAATATACACAATAGGGAGTTTGTCATCAGGCTGACTGAGTCCAGAGCCCCAATTTTGATTATAAGAGTTTTCACGCATGTTTTTACAGATAAGTACGTTTGCTAAGGCTTAAGAAAAAGTGGAAGTAAAAAGAAAACCAATATCCTAGGTAATCCTGCCAGTTGATTAAACACGTTTTAGTTTTATGATTAATTATGATCATGGGCATATATCTTTGGGTATAATTTGCATCCACAAAAGAGAAGCCATCGTAGGAGCGTGCTCCTGACTTCCAAGTTAAACATCTTAGAGAAGAGTTATGATTCCTGGTTAGTTTTTCAGGATGTTTATCAAGTGTTCTTCTTCCACTCCTGAAAAATCTGCAGGAGTTCACAAGAGGCTTTATTTGATTGGTGGGGTTTTATTTTAAATAAAGGAATTATATGCATCTTTATATCAGCACAGGACAAAGAAGCTATGTTCCACATGATTATAACTTGGTCCTCCTTTAAATGAGTACAATATCTTGCTGTTGAGCAGCACTGTGGACGTGAATAAGGGCTCAGACACACAGCACATCAGCTGATTTGTGGTAATCCTGAAGACAAAGAGCCAAGTTAATCCAAACCCCATCTCACATTGGCTACAGGCCATCCTCAGGGAGGTCAGTGCTTGTGGATGAGTGGAGGCTCCAGTGACTCCTTAGGCTGCATTTAGCACATTTTCATGCCTGAAACCTTAGGGAAAGTGTAGGGTGGGTCTTACTTGAACTGGATTTGATCATTATCTACACCAGGATACTCTTAAATGTATTTATGTCTGGTTTAGGGGTTTTCTCTGCACTGCCACAGTGGCATAAAGGGGACTAAGTATACGAAGAGCCCTTCTGCCCTGTCTCCAAGCTTTAAAGTTTTCTGACTCCTTCCAGTAGGCTCCTTGCCTAAAGGAAATAACACTGTTACTGTTGCCTGTCCTACTAGTACTCCTTTAAAGGGCTGTTCAGTGCACAGTAATTGACTGCCTTTGCAGGAGACACATCTATGAAGAGTCTTCTCCACAGTACAAAGCAGTGCGCTGTCTAGACCCTGCCTTTGGGTCTCTAAGGCAGAGAGGTGTGTCTTCCCTGGGAGATGCTCCCTGGAGAAAACCAATTTTGTGTGAAATTCTGCAGCTCCGATCCTATTTGAGGTAAACCCAGCAAGAGGAAAGGGAAAAGACTTGATTGTGCCATTATTCACAACTTTCAGTTGCAGAAGCACTATTTGCATACCATGAAGAAAGCTGTCTAAGTGTTTACCCAGACAGAATCTGGCTTCCCAGTTAGATGAATTTTTGGAGAGTGTTTATTCTGAAATTATATAATGTTTGGGCTGTACTTGTAAGAGAGGGAATTAGAAGCCTTAAGATATTGCTTCCCAAACCGTATCCCTAATCCTGCTTAGTTTGTTCCCTGGGAAGTATAAATTTGAAAAATATTTGTTCTTTTTGACAGAGTGGTGCTCGAATCAATATTTCAGAAGGCTCCTGTCCAGAGAGAATTGTGACAATAACAGGCCCAACAGATGCAATTTTTAAAGCTTTTTCTATGATTGCACTAAAATTTGAAGAGGTAAGGAAATAAAATAAGGCGTTTTTTTTCTCTCTTCAAGTTGAAATACAAACACCGTTTGAATTTTCTCATGTTTGCTTTAATGTTAAGTATTATTTGTTTAATGTTCTATTTAATAGCAATGAAAGTGGCTGTATTTTTATAAATGCTTTTGGCAGCAATGCTGAAGAAAAATAATGGGTCAATTTGCAAGCTGTTTGATCATTTCTTTTGCTTTTTGGAGGCTTCAGGGAAAAGCAATTGCTTCTAGTAATGTGCACTAATGGTAGGAAAAATGTCTTGGAAAATTTCTTGTCCCATTGTGGGTTTGATTTGAAAAGAATAATTGCTTAAATTTTAGTTCTGTTTTTATATGATTCCATTTGGTATTGATGTAAAATTTATATATGTCAAAATGAATATGGAACTCATCTAAATAGATTTTTTTTATTTTAAAAACAAACTATATGATTACCGATTACCATATTTAAAGCTCAGCTTTAATTTAATTAAAATAAAGGCACTAAGAGTGAGGCAAGAGCTCAATTTACTATTGACAAACTGATCTGTGCAGACACGTACCTAAAGTGCTGGGATCTCCTCAACTGTCATGAAACAACTACAATTAGATATGGTCACCACTTTAATGGGAAACCTCATAGAAAAGACAGGAGACTACAGAATACGAACTCTTGTTACTCAGGAGAGGATTTAACTCCCTCTGCTTCTGAAAGCCTTACGTCTAGTCCAGGCATCTCTCCTGTCCTCTGTAGATTGACAGAGGCCCCTGCGGAAGGCAGCTCACCTTTTCCTAAAGGAAGAGCCTGCAGACTATTGGACTGACTTACCTGCGGCAGCATAAAGGGAATGTGTCTCTCCATTGATGATTAAACTAGAGGGATATGAATCTCTTTTTTAAGAGTGCTTATTTCTTCAAGTCAGTGAGGTTATTAGCACTCGGAAATGCTGGCATTGATGGTAAATGGCAGTGTGTGCCTTTATTTACCCATGGTGATTGCTCACATTTAGAGCAACAGGACTATAAAAGAGTTTATAGGCCATCACATGCAGTTGTCGTCCAGCAAAAGCGATGTGTTTTGCAACCTGCAACTTCACAGCATGACCAGAAACTAGTTAGATGTTTTCTGTTCCCTGATATTGGATCCACAACGTCACTTCTCAGAGGATTGGACACCTTTTCACTGCTCACCAGAATTTATTCATGAACAGATTATGCAGCTTTGTTTCTGTGCCAGCACTGGCCGTTAGTTTCAGTAATTCTTGCCTTTCCATCCCTGAGGATTCCCCTCTTAGACTCATTTTTAGAAAACAGTTTTATCCCCTCACATCCTTTCTTTTGCAGGGTAGGTGAGCCAAGCTCAGTCTTTCAGAGGATGCATTTTCTACCCCTCTTGTGACTTTAGTAATCCCTTTCTAGCTTTTTGTTTATGTTAATCTTGGACAGGTTGCAAATGGAGTTCCAAAAAGGCTTATTTAATGGCTCTAACAGTCGCCTGTCCTAGTTAACATGTTCCTATCGCTGCTGGAAATGCCTCACTTCCTATTATTGTAATGTTTTGCACACAGCCATCCTGTGCCTCGTGGGTATACCCAGCTCCTGCTCAGGTGTTCTCAGTGGGAATCTCTTCAGTCTCAGACAACATTCCTGTCAGCCCCCAGACAAATGCCACATTTTTCATACTGCAAATGTTAATCCCATTTATATCGCTCCAGTCCCACACGGGTTTTCAGACCTTCTGTGTGATACACCAGTCTTCCAACATGTTAAAGTACTCTGATTTTGTTGCATAGTACATTTTATAAGAATGCTAATTCTTTTCCTTAGCAGTTATTGAGATAACAATTTTGAGGTTGAATCCTGCAGAACCATACAAATAATTCTGCCCAGCCCAACTTTAAAACCACCTGTAGTCATCTTTTTATCTCGGCTTTATCTCCTACCCATCTTGTACCAATCCTTTTTTCTTCTAAGCTTACGAAGCAGCTTTGTGTATGGTACCATATCCTCCAGTCCACTGAGACCTGGAGGGAGCAGCCTCTCTGCACAAAAACCATGTTCTGTTTAGGGCCTTATCCTGAAAAATGCTGAGGGAATCATTAACAGTGATAATCCCCAGCAGTTCCCACCAAAATGAGTACCCAGTGGAAACAGCACTGCATTTCTCATAAAAATATAGACCACTGCACAGCATTGGATCCTCACCCCACCACCCAACACAGCATAGTCTCTGAAAGTGCTATAGCTAGCAATAGGCAAAGAAATACGAAGTTCAGGCATTTGACTGGATTTTATGCATATTTACCCTTGTAGATTATAGAGGCTAGTCTGGACTCTTCATGTGGGTTTTAGCAAAGGAGTATAACTGCAGGTACTGCAGTTATATATTCTGAAATATCTGTATTTAGTTTTAATATAATTGACTTCTCATATATTTAGAAGAACAGGGGTAAGGAAATACGTCTCATATAATCAGTTAAAGTTTCCTATAACTATTCCTGTCAATAAAATGAGGTAACTTTAACACTTTAGGGGCAAAATAAAGTACTGTTTCACAAATTACAAATGAGCTATCTACCAAATGTTATTTTTCATGCATATCTTTTTGTTGGAAATGATGCATTTTTGGCATAGGTCAACTCTTCCTACTACAACTACAGTAAACCCTGTGCTGGTGGTTACCCAGCGTGGAGCCACCTCACAGACCATCCAAGAGCTGGCTCTAGGGACTGCCAGAGGAAATGTATGCAGTGTCGCAGAAAGTTAAAAGGTGAAAGATATGGTAATCCCCCAGTTTGAAACCCAGCTGTTCTGTGAGACAATCTCCAGCCAGCCCTACCTGGGAGCCTGCAGTTCGGGAGAGGATGTTTTTCTGGTCCTTTCTTGTTTGTTGTTTTTTAAGCAGGACTAACTCCTTAATGCACTCCACGCCTGCATGTTTAGATTTTGCTCTTTTTAAATAACAAGGAGAAAACAATGAGAATAGCAGCTTCCAATTTTTGTGAAGTGCTTTTGGAGGCACTAAGTGTAGTGAAGACTTTGAGGTCAGGTCGCATATGGTATGGAAGTGGAAGACATTATCAGGGTCGTGCTGGGTGGCTGAAGAGGGTTATTTATCACATCTGGATGATCGTGTGCCTCCACCTTACACAAACATGATATAGTGAGACGGCATCTTCCAGCTGAAAAATTGGCATGACTTAGGCTTTATTTCAGATACATGGGTGCTGCAAAATTCTGCTATCCCTCTCACTTTATTTGAGATTGCAATCTCTCACTGACACAGGCACTAAACAAAATGTGAGTTACTGGCTGACAGAGGAGTGATTTGGTATCTGTCTTGTGGCATGCAGCAATACCTCATTCCATTTGAGACTTTTTCTTCTCTTATAAGCTAAGCAAGGTCACACCAAGTCATTTCTTGGATGGAATAATGCTGCCATCACAAATGTGGAGGTACCATAGGAATCAGTGTCACTGAGCTCCAACTGATGTCACTGAGCTCCAACACCAGTTCAATGAGGCATGCGGAGTTGTTTAAAGTATTTTTTCTTTTTTTTTTTTTTTTTGTTAATTTGAGCTCCTGATCACACAGTATAGTCACTTTTTGACTTCTTGTTTTTAAACAAGTGGTGAGAATGTAGGGAATCACATCAGTTTTGTCTGCTGGAACTCTTGTTGCATCATGAATGAGTTAAATGAACTGCATGTTTTCTGTCATTAGTGTTCTAACTTTTAGGTAGCATTTCTGTCAAGGATATAATAGCTGTGCCATGCCACCTCACAGATGGATGAGATGGTCTTTTCAGCTCACAGCTAGTGTTAGTAAACCACATTAGAGAGTCTCAACTTCTTGGGCAGGCATCATGCAGCTTGTGGCTCTTTTTGTGATCCTAAGTGTTCTCAACAGCATCCCATCAATCAGCGGAAACATAAGCTTTATCTTTTCCTCTGTATTGAAGATTGTAGAGGGATTGGTTTGTCTTGCCTAGAAGATTTTCAACAAACAAAATAGACTTAGAACAATGTACACCTTGCAACAAGTAGCATATTGAAATGCTCATGAAAACTTATAGGTCTCATAAATATTGAATAATGAGATACAGGGATATAGGATACATTACCTGGATACAGGCAATTGCTGTTCTGCTGATCTCTGTACTCTGGTTATAGAGCTGAGATGGAAGAAGATTTTAGAAAATATGTAGCACTACAAACGCTTGTGGATCTGCTACAAAAGAGAAATTAAACTGGGGAGGGTGGGGTGGGAAGTGGAGGAGGGCAGCAAAATATTCATCATTACAATCAGATTTTCTCTGCTTCAGATTATTCACAGATTCTTTGTCGTTCCCTTTTTTAACCTTTTTTCTTTGTATTGAATCTGACAAGAAATTGCCTGAAACTTATCATATAGTATATATGTTCTAATTGAGATGGTGGAAAAGAGACCAAATTGGGACTGGGGAGGCCTGTGAACTCAAAAGCCTCTGTCTTTTCCATCTGCTTTGAGTGGTCTAATGACAAATACCACCTCCCCCTCCTAGCCTTGCCTCAGAGGCTGTCCTCAGGTCCCACAGTGTGGACCTGCAATGGCAGACAGCAGAAGGGCTCCTCTGGCACAGGCTGCTTGTGTGGTTCGTGCTTAAGGCATATCGCCAGCAGAGCCAGCAGCTTTACCTGAAACAGAAACAAACTGCAAATGGTTGCAGGCTCCCCAGGTCTCCAGAAACAGCCCAGGCTTTTGCTCTGAGCCCTTCAGTGCTTACCAGGAATGACAAATCCTCTGCTAATTCTCACCGACGTTGTGATTACAGGACATAAACGCTTCAATGACAAACAGCACAGTGACAAGCAAACCGCCTGTAACACTGCGGCTCGTCGTCCCGGCAAGTCAGTGTGGATCCCTTATAGGAAAAGGAGGTTCCAAAATCAAAGAAATCAGGGAGGTAAGTCTTGAGATGTCTGCTGTGGACACTGGCTAGCATGACATCTTGCCAGCCTAGTGCATCATCCACTGCACTTTGCTCATCGCACAGACATAAGCGTGTTCTGAGCGAAAAGCCTGGAAAAGCCTTGCTCTGGGGGAAGCACAGCTGTACACTTGTACTTTCCTTGAGGGTAAGACCGTGTGTGAAATAAACAACAGCTTTACAACGTATTAGCCTTTGATGCAAAGAGACAGGTTAGTGACAGCAATGCTTGTCAAGATTTTCTTCAGGCACAGCCCCTTCCCCACCAGTACTCAGGGGATTCCCAAGTCAGAGTGCTGCAGCCATTTCCAAATCAGTTACCACCCTTGCAGCCAGAGAAAGGCACAAGTAGCATTTTACTTTCATGCTCCTTTCCTGTTTCTCCCTAGCTCCCTAATCTCACTGTGTCACAGGTTTCATGTATTTCATGTATTCCAAATATACTGATTGTTTTTAATCCTGACCTTTATCTAAAGGTATCATTCAATGTGCTGCGCTAGCAGCCACTTTTTCCTCCAAAAAATTACCATATAGTGCCAGGTTTAATTCTTCCATCCATGACTGTAACAACATAGCACATGCCAAGCCAAGGATCCAGTGTTTGCAATTAGTCAAACAAGGAGATTAGGTACATGCTCGGTTATGTAGAGAAAATCTGAATAGGACATTTCAGAATGAATTTTTATTCTGGAAACAGTGACAGTATTCTTTTTAAATATATTTTCATTCCAACATGGGATGAGGTGTTGAATAACAAAATAACATGCTGATCTTTTTTTTTTGTTTGTTTGACTGTATCAAAACAAAAGCTCTTGACAGGCTCTACCAAACTGAAACTTCCTTTTCTTTATCTTAAATGTAGCTTCAATACAGTAGGTTTTATTGAGCTTTTACATTTCATTTTGTCCTGGGTTCAGCAGTAGCAGTCATTTTTCTCCTTCTTAGTAGCTGTTGCAGTGCTGTGGTTTTGACTTTCAGCCTGGGAACAATGCTGATAACACCAATGATTTTAGTTGTTGCTAAGTCGTGTTTACTCTGACCAAGGACTTTCTGAGTCTCATGCTCTGCCAGGGAGGCGGGGAAGCCAGGAGAAAGAAGAGCCAGGACACCTCACCCAAACTAGCCAAAGAGGTATTCCATACCACAGCACGTCATGCCCACTATATAAAATGGGGGCAGTTACCTTGAAGAGCTAGATCACTGCTTGGGTCAGGCTGAGTATTGGTTGGCGGGTGGTGAGCGGTTGTATTATCTCCCCTTGTTATTTCCCTTATCCTTATTATTATAGGTGGCAGCAGCAGTGGTTTGTGTTATACCTTAGTTACTGGACTGTTCTTATCTCAGCCCATGGGAGTTACATTCTTTTGATTCTTCTCCCCATCCCTCCGGGAGCAGGGTGGGGGAAGAAGGGGGAAGTGAGTGAGCGGCTACATGGTTCTGAGTTACTGGCTGGGCTTAAACCAGGACATAAAAAAAATATACAGAAAAGTTGCCAGATGATTTTCTATCAAAGAAAATTCAATCAGGTGTCAAGAAGGAGTGAAAAATACTTTATCAAAATTATATGAGTGGCATTTGCTATGAAATACTAGTTTATGGCAGCCTTGGAAGGAAAGATGATTATAAAGGATGGTTAGGGGTCTCATCCTTGTTGACTTTCAAGTTCATCCAAATTATTTCATTTGGATTCACATTTGATTTCCCTGGGAGTTTTTTTTTAACAAGATTCCCTCTGAAGGCTTATCTTCACCTTTCAGGATCTGGCCACTACTGAAAGGGCCTTTTCTCTCCTTGCCTGCAGGGAAGTAAAAGAAGCATGTAGTGCTTCCATTAGCTGACAGAGCTGCCAAAAGCTGTTCCAGAGTTTTTGTTGCCAAGTAAACAACATGTTCCTCCGTGTGCATCTGACTTTGTGGGATGTGTTTATGTAAACGTGCACAGGTTGTCTGCTGTAAACTCACAGAAAAACAACAAAGTGCCCTGCTGTTTGAAGGGGTCTCTGTGCTTACTGAGACCTGCAAGTAAAAGGCAGTAACAAATCAGTTGGCTTTTTTTCTTGGAATGCCCTTACTTTATTTTTCATCAAAGAGTCCAGGAGCTGTGCTTCTTAGTAGTTGTCATGGTTTAACCCTAGCTGGGAACTTATCACCACGCACTTGCTCACACCCAACCATCCCAGTGGGATGGGGAGGAGAACTGGAAAAAAGCTAAAACCTGTGGGTTGAGATACGAACAGTTTGATAATTAAAATAAGGTGCAATACAATACTACTACTAATAAAAGCAATGAAAAGGGAAAGAGAGAGAGAGAAACTAAAACAACAGTAAAAAGCAGTGATGCACAACGCAATTGCTTACCACCCACTGACTGGTACCCAGCCCAGCCCCAAGCAGTAAAACAGCCCCTTCCAGCTAACCCCTCCCCCCCCCCAGTTTATATACTGGGTATAATGTTTTGTGGTATAGAATATCCCTTTGGCTAGTGTGGGTCAGCTGTCCTGGTTATGCTTTCTTAACTCTATCCCAGCCAAAAGCAGCTTTTGAGATGTGTGGGGAAGGAGTCGCTTGATGACACTTGAGAGGAAGAAAACATTATTTTTGTGCAGACAGGTTTTCTATGACCCTTTTTTTTTTTTTTCTTTAATCCCAAAAAACCTTTGTCAGCAACTCAGTGTAGAAGGGAGAAGAACTTGTTTGCTGAAGTGGATTTCCTGGGTGGAAGGAAGGTGTACACTTTACCTTTCACACAGGGCATTCCTGGCTCAGATTCTGAATGGCCACAGGACAGCCAGTCTTTTCAGGAGTTCATGTCAGGGTGAGTCAGCAAGCTTACCCTGCAGCTGATGCTCCAGCCCTGGCAGGCAGCAGGCAAAGACAGGCTAAAGCCTTGCCACTGGAGAAGGCAGAACTACTGTCAGAGCACATGGTCAGAGGTGGCCTCAGCCATGAGACATGATTTCTCTTGATCCTCCAGATCTCTTAGGAGTCCAGGAGATCTGTCAGGCAGCAGAAATGCAGCTGATTTCTTAGTTGTGTTAAAATTGGAGCAGGCGTGAGTATGAGCCATGTGCTGGTAAGTGTTTAGCTCTTTGTTTTACAGCTGTTGATACTTTGGATTTTATATATCAGTTACCTCATCCAGAGTACTGAGTGCTTTTTGGGACAGTTTTTAAAGGTGAGATTGGTCTGTTGGTCTGTGTGCATTAAATAAATGACTGAAGGGATTATTCTGGTGAGCGTAGTTTCAGAAGCAATTACCTACTAGTCTAGTACAAGGAAGTACACAGTGTCTGGACAACAAGGTGTTTTGATAAGGCTAGGGTACCAAGAAATCACACTACACATTTTCTTCAGCGTAAGGGTAACAGACAAAATATTACTCGTTTTCTCATTGCTGACGTGTGACCAAAGTCAAAGAATAAACAAGATTGGCACCGGAAGCAAATGCATAAATGACCACTGTATTTGGTAGAGTATTTTGTGCTAGATGTACAGATACCTAGAACTGTGCTTTAAACAGCAAATACAAGCAAACAAAAAAAGAAAAAGGAGCATCCAGAGATGTGGTCTAATTTCATCGTCATGTAACACTGAGCAGCGGCAGCATGAGGGATGGTCTTTTGTGTTCAGTCATGTACCCAGGAGTAACTTGTAGGGTTGCAGAACTGTTTTCAAGATAAGCTTACAAAGAAAAGAAAAGCATGACTGATTGATCAAATTATGGTGAAATTCCAAAGCCTATTATAGAGCAAGGAATTGATATTCTGGCCTTAAACAGCACTAGTGAACAGAAGATGCAATCAGTAATTTAATCAGTCTTTGGAAAGAAGAATAGCATGTGTTGTATGTAACCAGCAGGAGAACAAATTAACTCCTTGCTGTCTGACATAAAGTTGATGATTGCTGAAAATACAGGGTTTTTTAGAAGCCCAAAATAATTGCATTGCAGTAACAGTCAGGAATGTATTTTGTTTGGAATACATGAAAGTGCTAACTCAGTACTAAATGCCCAGGGTTTCTCTATTGACAGAAAAGGTCTTCCAGGATGCTTGTGAAATAGTGCCAGGGATTGTTTTAGCCTCATGTTATTTTTTTCTTTCTTTGGTTTTGGGGGTTGGTTTCTTTTGGTTAACAAAGATACATTAGTGACAAGATCAAATTTTATAAAAAGAGAAAACAAAACTGGCTCATTGCTTCCTTGACTTCATTCATGAGCTAAAAGTTGATAATGTGCCTATGTTTAATCAACTCTATAATTTAGAAGTGCTTCTGTACCATCCTGAGGTACAGCAGAGATAAGACAGCCCCAGATTTCACCTAGGTACACAAGTCAGCCGTCAGTGGATTAAAGAGCCATTTATCTGCAGCTCATTGGATTAGCAGGACTTCTTTGGTTGTCAGCATTTTTTAACTTTTTTCTTTTTTTGTTTTTTTTTAATTGTTGAAAAATTCTTGGTTTCACCTTTTCCATGTTTTAGTCAGCATTGCAACTGCCTGTCTTTGAGAGGGTTAAAAGACTTGTCATGAAATCCAGGTCACAGTTTGATTCATTAGCAGCTACTGGGGACTAATCTTCTTAGGACAGGAGTGTTTGCAGATTGCCTTGAGCAGGCAAATCCATGTCCTGCCAGACCCCAATTATGCTGTCTGGGCATGAGTTGACATACATACGTTATCACATATCCAGCAAAGAAAAGATTGAAAGTTTGGAGGTGCATCCCCTCCATCACATCAGGCTTTGGAGGGGTGCTGTTCCCTGCCCGATGGTGACGCTCTCTGTGCTTTGTCTCTCCTCAAGTCCACAGGAGCACAGGTGCAGGTCGCAGGGGACATGTTGCCGAACTCAACAGAGCGTGCAGTGACTATCTCAGGCACTCCTGATGCCATTATCCAGTGTGTGAAGCAAATATGCGTGGTTATGCTGGAGGTAAGTGAGGCCTTGGTGTATCGCCTCTCGCGTGGAGATGCTCAAACACATTAATGTTCAATTGCCCTGGGCTTCCCCAGTGCTGCTGCCTACCCTTCCCATAACAGGGATTTCAAGAGGACTCTGTTAGACTGTGCCCTTCCTGCTGTTTGAGAGACTCTCGCAGTAGGGTTTAGCGATCAAAGACCAGGGCTGTCAAACAATAAACCAATTCCAGGATGGAGCTGCAGCCCATTCTAAGAGAAAAGCAGAATTATTCTGATGCAGAACAGGGCAGAAAACAACTAGGTCTAGTTTTAAATAGAAATAATTTCGACTAATGTAATTTAGGGGTTTTTTCTTCCTTTGGGTCAGGTCATTGCATTAAGGCCAGGAGACTTCATTTTGACTGCAATTTTTTAGCAGTTAGATTAAATGATACAATAGTAATTTTTAGAAAAATCTGGGCATTTTAATCCTCGCTGAAAATGCCCATAATTTCGTGCAAGTACGAAAGTACATTTCTCAACTGATTAAGTTGAATAGGAATTAGAAAAAAAAATTAAGCAAATCAAAATTAAATATCTTGACCTAATAACCATAATTTTTGAGAAGGAACTTGAAACATCTCTGCTTTTATCACAGTTTCTGCTGGAAAATTTTCTGTTTTTTTTTTTTTTTTGTTTGGGCTGGGTTTTTACCTAAATCTAGTCGAGGCTGTCTCATGATGATCTCTGATACCCTACTGTTCTGTTACTCTTTAAAGAGTGGAGAGACAGTGGAGTGTTTGGAACAGCACTACAGCTGTTGACTGTTCAGAAGTATGCAATGCATCAAAATGACAGACAGCCTTTGCATCAAAATGTCATACAGCCTAATGCAAATGAAAGCACAAAAACTAATAAATCCTTAGTGTTTTATTGGGGAAAAGTGACTCTTGCTTCAGTTTTTACTGAAATACTGTGATGAAGGATATAAAAATGCAAGAGAGCAGAAGGGTAATATTAAGAAATAATTTCGGTTTGTTAGACATGGAGTACATGATGGCAACAGTTACCAGCTTTGTGAATACAGAGTGTATTCTGTTGTCCAAGTTCCTTGAGTTTCTCGAGAGAAGCCACTTCTCAAAAGCAGAGAGATACAGTCCAGTTTTCCCACAGGTAGAACCACTTGTTAAATAACTAGTTTTGACATAAGAAGTACCTTATTTTACCATTAGGCAAATCACAGGCAGCACTGAGACAGCACTGGCTTAACTACACTTTGCTGCTTCAAATGCTCAAGAAAATGAATGTGCTTAAATTTGCTGCATGTGGTTAAATTGACAACAAACACTTTCATTGACATGAAAGAGCTCATTATATAATATTAACTAATGGAAGTGATATTGTACCTTCTTTAGTTGTAGCTAATGCATTGAAATCAGGGCACCGTTCTGCTAGGTGTTGCACAGACAGCTTGAAGCCTTTTTTACACACACATGCTCCTGCTTTATTTATGAGGAGGAAGTTAGCCTTGGTGAGGGGTTTTCCCTTTGGGTCCTTGTCTCGGACTACAGGGAAAAACTCTTTTTCATGATGACAAAGACCATGGTTAGTGCTTCTGCTGAAGCCAGGAAGGTTTCTCTCCAACCTGCCAGCTCAGTCATATGAAAGGCAGGATGAGGCTGGTCATTGAATTGTTAAAACAAGAAACCTTGAACTGTATCAGTGTAGGGAAGTTCGATAAGCAGGAGATGTGTTCTGTGTTAACAAAGTAATAACACAGGCCAGACTCTTCCAAACCATTGACAAAGTTCATAATTATGCCCATGTTTCCCTCAAAGCCCAGACAAGTGGCTTTTGGCTTGCTTTTAGGCTGATGGGGTGGAGGGCAGAGTTGGGTGGGTAGGGTTAGCTGCATGCCTGTTGTCTGAGGTGTCCAAGAAAAGGAGTGATATTTTTAATACGAGCTCTGTTTCATTCTGCATTTTGATTGCTCTGTGTTTTTGTTTGCAGTCCCCACCCAAAGGTGCCACCATCCCCTACCGTCCCAAACCTGCCTCTGCACCTATCATTTTTGCAGGTGGCCAGGTAAGAGCAGACACCATTTTGGCTTCAGCTGGAAACCACACCGTCTTGGCCCAACCTCAGCCAGCGCCTGTTAGTTTTCAACTTTTACTCTTTCTTGCCTGGTATAGTATTGATGTGCTTTGTCTACTCTGTGTGCTTGCCGTTTGCAGGAAAGGAGAACACTGCACTGCAAACTTGACGCAAAATTGTGCTGACTGGTATTTTATCAAGATTTAAAATTAGCTTCTCTAATTAAGAAAAGTTTGGCCTTGTTTGAATTGAGATGTGTCCAAATCATGTGCTCCCTGAGTAGGACAAAACTGCTTATTGTAGGGGTTGTTTTTTTCACCCTTAATTTGCACCTCCACTAACAGTATAGGCAATTTTGTCACTTTTCATAGATGATCAAGCAGCAGGGTACCTCTGCTGATGAAAGGCGTAATTCTTCTCTCATAGCTTTCATAGCTTTTAGGACCAAATAGTGCTCTTTGCAGTAAAAAGTTACGCACACAATTTTTGCTGCTCACGGTCCCCCAAGAGCAAGTAGCAATTGGGTCTCTGAGGTGACATGAACTGCATACATGCGAGTGTGGACCTTCCTAACCACAGTGTGCAGCACTTGTATGATAACACAAGAATGGCATTCCTGTTTCTGTTTTATATTATGAAGTTTTGCTGATTCACCCTTCATCTTAAGCTGTATGAGTCAGGGTAAGGAAGCTCCTGCACATCTCAAGCATATGCCAAAGCACCATTGCTTCTGACAGGCCCTTGTAATGAGCTTCCTCTGAATTTTGTCTCAGAGTTTATCTCCTATTCTGTAATTATATGTTGTGATGTATATCCACATATTTGTAATCTGGATGTAGTAGCTTTCAGTATCTGGTGTTCAAGCCTACCACTCTTAGCTGTTTCCAAAATAAGAAATCTGTCTCCTTAGTGACTCAAGTTGAAATGTAAAATAATTTGCCAGAAATTGGTTTATGACTAAAAGTTTAGAATAATTCACTCCATTTACACTGCAGTGCTTTCCTTTAAGAAATATGTGTGTTTATATATGCAGCAGCCTACGTTACCAGTATTGTAATTGCCACTACCTTCAAAGACATCTATGTATATGATTACTCAGAAGTATTGAAACTGTTTGCTAGAGTGCTCTGAGCAGTTTGTATAAATAATGGAAAGTGTCCTATTTTAAGGGCTAATAGTTCTTGTCATGTTCAGTTTTATCAGTTAAAACAGTGTTCTCACTTTTCTAACACAACCTTCTTGATGTGGGAGAGAGTGTAAGAGACAGACACTTCCTGTATGCTTTTAAATTTTGTGTGCTCTGACTAAGCGCACGTTTTAAACAAAACGGTTGAGATGTGTTTGGACATCAATATGGAAAGACACCCAGGTTTCATAAGTGGAAAGTGATACTGAAAATAGAATTTTATCAGCAGTGTTAATTCCATCCAACCTTTTGGTTCAATTCTAAAGTACATCATGGCTATCTTGAAAGTGGTTTTGGGTTGTTTAATGCTTGCATATCAAGGAACACTAGCAAATTTCTAGTTTTCCTTAACAATATGAGCTTCTTCTGCTTGAAGTATTGCTTTTAATTCTCTTGTGCTTCTTTGATACTGTATTAAATGGTGGAACTAAAATGAAGCTGAGCACTGTCCTGTCCTGCTCTGCCCCTTCCCAGTATTGGTTAAAGAAAAACATTAAATAAATCCAGCACTCCTGCCTGATGGAAACAAATGGGAAGTTTCTACTGACTGTGCTACATTACTGTTTAGATGGGTATTCACAGGGTACAACTTGCTTTATGTCTCATAGTAGTTTTATGGTTTAAATGGAGGAAGATTTGTAGCCCAGGTCATTCCTGCTGTTACTAATGTCAGTACGTCAGTAGGAGAGTTGCCCTTGGCATTGATGGAAGCCGACCTGTGCTCATGTCCCTAGTGAAACATTACAGTATGGATGTCTCGGTAGTCTCTACCAGGCTACTTGTACTTAATATGCCTCAGCTACAGAAGGGCACAGTTCCTCTGCCAAAGCGGTAAAGCAGTCCAAGATAGTTTTTCTCAACCTAAATCAATCAAATGACCTTTGAGAGCCTAAGAAATGAAGAGCTTTTTTTGCCTTTTTTTTAACTGGGAAAGAAAATTCAAGACCCATCTTGTCCATGCTGCTTTTATGGTTTTCACTGACAACCAAAAAAAGATCTGAGCACTGAATGTTCATTTTTGTTACTTCTCCAGTTTGTTTGCTTCCTTGTATATGCATACGTGGAAGAGAGAGGAATGATAAGGAAAGGGGTGCCTTCTATTAGATTCACTAGTGATTTTTTGGGGGTGGCTTCTTGCTGTTTTGCAAACCACTGCTTGAGAAGCACCCATGTCATAGAGTTGTAAAATGGTTTGAGTTGGAAAAGACCTTAAGGTTATCTAGTTCCAGCCCCCTGCCATAGGCAGGGATACCTTCCACTAGACCAGGTTCTCAAAACCACATCCAGTCTGGCCTTGAGCGCTGCCAGGGATGGGGCAGCCACAGCTTCCTTGGGCAGAGATATCAAAGGTGTTCTCTCAGCTGGGTTTGAAGTAAAGCCAGGATGAGAAAGGAGACTTGTGATCCAGCATAGAGGCTCAGAGACAAAACCCACTGTTTGCTCATGGACCTAAGCTCTGCTTTAGCACCATTTCCATCTGTAACCTTCCTGAAGGTGCTCTTGTGCTTGGCTTTGCACAGAGGCTCCGCTCAGCAAAGCAGCGTAACATCTCCTTGAGGTTGTCCTCATTTGTAAAACACTTAAACACACGCTTTACTTCCTTGAATATGTCCTTGCTTAAGACCCACTGACACCAGTGATCACCTGTTTTGGTGGACTGGAACCTTTTCTTGTCATGTGTGTTTGCCCATGAGCATCCCCTTGCACCCAGTGACACACACTGCTGCCTGAAAACTGCTCATGTGCATAATGTTTGCAGGATTGCAGCCTTGCTTTGTAACTAATTTAAAAACTAAATGAAATGTTTCTTCCCGAGAAGGGAAATTCTGCTGCAGAAATGTGCATCAAGCAGTTGAGGCATTAAAGTTTTAATATCTGAACTCCATTAAATGAATTGTTTTATCATTTGCAAGGATTCATTACTTTCTAAGAGGCCTTTTGTCAAATAAGCGCTTTACAAACTAAGCTAATCAGCTCTGTTCCCGTTTATAATTCTCCCACTACAAATATTTATATGTTATAATTTGTCCTTCTGCTTTCCTGCCTGTCTAAGCACAAGCACATTAAACATTTTCTGACATGCCATTCCTTTCAGAAAAGCCCTACAGGATATAATTGAAAATTACAAACTCTCTATAGTTGTTCTTTTGTAGGCCATTACAGAGCCAGCAGGAGAGACGAAGGGCTGTGCTAACTGGTGCCAGGCATGACAGAAACTATAGCCCTTGTACTGCTCTTGTGCAGAGAGGTTGGATTTGGAGAGAGGATATTTGGCTTCTTGTGGGAGATAAGACCACCACTCTGGGTGTCTCCATCATGCCCCTATCTCCAAAGAGGCGTGCTGGCCTGATGCCCAGGCACTGCAGGACAGGCTGCCATCCCACATGTGTGCTCACTGTGGGATGCACCGGGGCACATGTTTGCTGGCACTTGGCACCTATGGCTGTCCTAGCCAGATGAGGTAGCCCAGAGCTAGCTGGCATGTGGCCATGCACACAGCAGTCAGGAGTTGGATGCCAGGGCAGGCATCCCCCTGGCAGGTCTGCCCCATCCTTGCTGCTCCCCTTGCTGCATCAGCATCGCCCTGTGCATGCATCAGTGGCACTTGGTGAATGGGGCAGCAAGGAGGGGAAGTGGCCACCCCCATGCTCCTCAATCCCTGAAGTGTCCCCAGCTCTGCTTCTGGCTGATA